TCGCAGTAGAAATAGAAATGCTAAAACTAGTTAAAGAAAGAAAAACAAATGACAAAAACACATGTAACATCTCTTAAAGAAACATGTGATGCTCATGTATGTATCAGAACTACTGCTGTAAGTTAAACCCACTGGAGACTGTGAAATGTATCTGACTTATATGTTCCAGGAACATACAGAGTGAATAATTACTTGAATTAAAATTAAAAAATATTTCCATTTCACTCAGGGGCTTCTTCACCAGCTACCAAAGTAATATAAAATAAAACAAGAATTGCATATAGTTGCTAGTTTCTACATTTGAAGTTTTTTTCAGGATTGTTGGTTTGCCTTGTGCTTCACTGTCTTTGCTTGTTGTAGGGGAGGGAGTGGGAGTTAGTGTTCACTAGAGAACCTTTGATAATAAGAATCTGTTTCTATAATTCCATATAATAATAGTAATAAAACAACCTGCATGGTTTTCAAATGACACAAGAATGATCGAGGATGTGTCTTTTTTGTTTTTCTTTTTTTGATTTGCTTTGACCTGATACAGGTTAAGATGCAATTTGCTGAATATCTTAACTGGGTGGTGGTTTGAGATAAAAATCAAAAGGGGTTAACACAAACAGCTATCATCCAGTCAACTCTGGGCGAACAATTCTAACCATCACAGATGCAACAAGGAGGTGGGAGGATGGTCTGGTGGGGGACTTGCTCCCCTGTTCTTTCTTCGCTGTATGAAAACCATGCTTCTTCTGGAGTGTAAAGGAGCTGACAGGGCGCATCCATGCTAGACTGACAGTGATGGAGGAGGGAGGGACCAGGGGACAGGGGAGGAGATCAGCCGAGTTTGGTGGATGGAGGTCGGTGCTTTAAACCAGACTGCTGATTCCACAGGGGGTGTGTAAAAGGCACGCCAGGGTAACTCCCAATCCCAGCCAATATACACAGAGACACCTTCACACCACACATGCACATACACACACACATACATACATACAGTCGTACACACACTTACACTTACACGCGCACACACACACACACACTAGCAGCACAGGCTAGAGACCAACTGACGATAAGAAGGAAGGCAGGAAAGAGAGGGAAGGAAGGTAGTTCTTGATGGAAGAGAGATCGTGTTTATGGGAGCAAATGGGGAAGGGGCTTGGATCCGGTGCTGCCGTTGTGTTGAAGACAGAAAAAAAAAGAGAAAAGAAAAAGAAAGAGAAAAACAAACAAAAAAACGGTGGAATGGATCATTTGGGGTTCTTCAGCTGGTTGGAAAGCCAGTCCAGACCCTCGTACAGGCCATCTCCGCTGGTGGCACAGGTGGCCTGGATGTACCAGCTGCGATGGCGGAGGGCATGTAAACCCAGCTTCTCTGTGATCTCTGCTGCATTCATAGCATTGGGGAGATCCTGTGGGAGGATTCAGAGAGATGGTGTTTGACATTTTCCGAAATGCTCAGCGGTGGTTCATCTTAATTTGGTCAATTTCTAAGTGGAAATGAATGTGTGAAACCAGTTATTTGTTGGACTGGACCGTGAAACGAGTCTGTCACTGGCAAGATGTCTGTAATTATACAACGCTCACCTGTTTGTTTGCAAAGACCAGCAGTACAGCATCTCTGAGTTCATCTTCAGATAGCATTCTGGACAGCTCTTCCCGTGCCTCTGTCACTCTCTCTCTGTCGTTGCTGTCCACCACAAAAATGAGCCCTGCACACACAAAGAAAATCCAACGTCTAGTTAAAATAAAATAAAAAAATTTTCTTTTTTAATTTTGCACTTTTCCATCAATCAATCGGTTCTCAGTCAAAGTCAAGTCAAAGTTTCATAGTTACACCAATAAATAGACAATAAGGTCAGATCTCAAATCTGTACTTCTCACATAGCTACTTGGCATTCTCTGCTCTGTGGATAGCTTTATTTGTATTGGACAACATTTTGACACACAGAAGACATTGCAAAATCCACTAATGCAATACTTCCGTGCTGAAGAAGGGTAGTATTAGAAACTTGCAAAAAGTTGCATTACAGGGGCTGAAACAAGGTTTTTATAAAATGTTTTTTATAATGCTATCATAAAATTAAATGTAAATTCAAATTACATTTAAAAAGAAAAGAATATCACAAATAATGTATTTTCAGTGTTAACAACAGCATATGACTAAAATTCAAATTACATTTAAAAAGAAAAGCATATCACAAATAATGTCTTTTCAGTGTTAACAACAGCATATTGACTCTGATACTTTAATATTATCTTTTATGCACCATTAAAACCACCAATTGGCAGTGGCCTTCAGTGACACCATTGGCAGCCAAGCAACTAAAAAGCCCTGTCTCACCTTGAGTGTTCTGGAAGTAATGACGCCATAGCGGTCTGATTTTGTCCTGACCGCCCACATCCCACACTGTAAAGCTGATGTTCTTGTATTCTACAGTTTCCACGTTAAAACCTGGACAAAGGAGAAGAAACACAGATGAGTCCATAAAAGAAATTATAGTTTACAGTAACTTCGGTAATTAATTTCAACATGGAATGTTTTCACACCGATGGTGGGAATTGTGGTGACTATCTCTCCAAGCTTCAGCTTATACAGGATGGTTGTTTTTCCAGCAGCATCAAGTCCAACCATGAGAATTCGCATCTCTTTTTTGCCAAAGAAGCTTTTGAATAGGTTTGCAAATGTATTCCCCATGGTGACGAAGCTGCAGGGTAGGGAAGAGAACGAAGAACAGCCAGGAGTGTCAACGTCTGCACGTTTTCAGTTACAGCACAGTAAAAACGCTAAGAGAAAGGGACACAAGGAGTTACACAAGTTAAGAAGCAAGACAAATGTGACGTCTGTCACTGAAGCAGGAATAACGGAAATAAATTCACAACCTCATGATTCAGAAGACAGGGATAAAATTCCTTTTATAATAAATGAGGTGAGTAAAATGCAGAGCCTGAATAAACCACACACCAGTACAACAAGAGTTAAAAGTAACATAAGTGAGGTGTTTACTTAAGTTAATGGTTACACGTACACAGGTTTGTGACCTGTAGCTATAACATTACCTACTCAACTGACAGTCAATAGCAGCAGCCAAAATAATACATTTATTTAACTCACGTCTTTGTTGTTTAAATATATTCAAAAAACAAAAAGGGGCATAATCCACCAGAAGTTTATTACATATAATCGATTCAAAAATATGATCATCAGTCATCTCAATAACATGACAACAGTGTCGTTTTATTGTATATATAAAACACGTTATTAAATTTGGTTTAGAGACATCAATAGACTAAAACGTATAGACAATGAGCGAGAGGGCTATCGTTTTACGTTTTAGCAAAATGTCAGCTTGGGTTTTTGGGAAGTTTTGAGTGGACTCTCTCACAACCTCAAAGCAATTTAACGTAAAACTCGACAACGTAATCGAACATATTTATCTGAGGGTGAATTGTTGCTTAAGACAATGACAGAATGGGCTCGACACACGTTGTCAAAACGGTTAAATCGGTTAGCAAAACGACTATCACGAGAGAGGCCTGGTCCAGCTGCTAAACTCCAACAACACTAATAGTGCCGTAGGTGGGAGCCTGTTAGCATTCCAACTATACAGTGACCTTAAGGCCGGCAAAAGCTTGCTTTTGTCATTTTTTTAATATCAAGCATAATTAGTAGCTACATTTTAACGTGTTAGTCTTTTACACAATGCGATCAATTGAAGTCGATTAGTTTTAGCAGGTGTCATTCACGTGAAGCTATAAGGGCGGATGCTTCGACTAGTTAGCACACCGTGCGTTTGCAGGGTCCGAACTCACAACCGCCAACACTAGTAAACATTATTAAGACCTTTCTATGTTTTAAATGTTAGCATAATGTAAGCCTTACACACTTCAAACGGCCACTGTCACTATGAACGATAGTTAAAGTTAAATATTTATTGACATATACTTTATTTCAGTGACCAGGATGACGGAAAAGCCGAGAACGAAGTGCCGCGTCACAGTAAAGACAACACATCCTGACGTATGTTTGTAAACGACAGAAAGAAAGGCGTTCGAGCAAGACACGCGATACTTCACGTTGTATCTTGTTTTAAAGCCGAAATAGTGTGCTGGTGTGGACATTTACCTTTAGAAAGACAGCTTCTCGATGTTTCCGTTATCTTTGACTGACACTCCAAAATGGCGTCTTGCGCAACCAGGGAGACGCCGGCGTACGAACACTTCCCCCCTCTTACATCAGCACCAATCAACGCCGTTTGCATGGATCAAATGTCCCTCCTTTTCATATTTACCAACAAATCACAAGCCCTACTCCTCGTCAGCAAGGTGCACAGTAGTAGTGAGTAGTGCACAGGAGCTTGGTCAAGTTTAACATATACTTTGATAAATGGATGCATGACACTGGCTTCAAAACACTTAAAAACGTTCCCAAAAATATTGCAGTTGTTTGAGTTTAACACTATACCCACAAAGCTTTGGTTGTGTCTCAGTAGGACTTGAATGTTTCACGTCAAAATGTCCATTCTTGATGTTTCTGATTGGGTTTGCTTAACTGAAAGCATACATGTTTTATTACATTACCAGAGAGAGCTAATCTTTTTCGAATTTCACTACTAGCAGGTCCACCAGGCTCAGTTTTAATTTAAATGTTTCTTATGTTGGCCTGGCCCAGGAGTGGAAAATCCAAGGACTCAACACTGTGATAAAAGCAAAGACATTTGACTCAAACTTTTCTAGTGACTTGTACTGTAAGGAAGGTTATTATTTAGAACTCAACTGTGAAACTTGATCTTAGAGTTAACTAAATATTTGTAATTACTTGGTTGCAGACTGGGGCACTTGGCTATGTATCAATGGTTTGTATTCTTGCCTTATTGCAATTTGTAATTACTTGGTTGCAGACTGGGACACTTGGCTATGTATCAATGGTTTGTACTCTTGCCTTATTGCAATTTGTTATTTGTTCAGTGTTTACTGACCATGACGATGCATGAATGTGAGTTTGAATGGTTGCTAGTCTATATATGTGTCTGTGAACGGGCTGGCACAGTGCCCAAACTGAACCCTGTTGACCGCTGGGTTTGGCTCAAGTGCCTCTCATTGCACTGAAAGGGATTACACTGTAGAAGATGAATGAAATAATGAACATAGACTTGAACTCAAACAAAGAAAGCAAAGACAAGACTGCATCATAACAGTTGTATTAAAGACGCAAACCAGTATTGACATGTTGGGTTTATTTTAAAAAGACATTTTCTTTCTCAGTACAATAAACAGAACAGCACTAGAAAGTTCTTAAAACCTTCTTAAAGTTCTTCTTAAAACCTCTTAAAGGACAGGTAAATGTTAAAAATGTTAATGTAGGTATTCTAAATTGTATACATAAAATATGATCTCTGAAAAAGTTTGGATCTAAATATATGTAAAATATTTTTTACAGTATGTGACACAGTCACAGCTGTGGTGTCTGAGAAGTGTGGTCTAAAAACGAATTCCAAAAATTTCATTTAATGGTTCTTGTTCAACAGTGACTATAGATGACACATCACAGGAAAAAAGATGACAATAATTCTGCATGTCTGTGAAACAAGTTCATGCAAACAGTTTTGGTCCATGTATCCTGCCTCATCTCAAACACTCGTATGTATCAATGCAATAATTAAAGAGTAACTACTACTGTAAAGCATTTAAAAACCATGCTGTTTACCAGAACTAATAATCTGACGTGTTGAATCGATTGCTCAACTTTCATGAACAATACTTTATAATAAAGTATTTTGACCATTGTTTCTATGGTCTGTGTGTTTGTGTTCCTCAAAGTAGGTCTAGCACCTGTGTTTGCCCTGAGTATATTTAGAGCCACTTGAAACCAGAGTTACACTGTTTATATAACTGCATATGCTAAAGCAAATAGTTAAAAATTCATCTCTGAAATCACTTGCATAATAATTCAAGGGTAAAATGAAACTTAGAATACAGTTCTGCCCACAACAGCAGGATTCACTTGTGCCACGTGGCTGTACATTTTCAATCTTTCTACCGGTACATAGTGTATTTACCTGGACTGAGTGCCAGCAGTTGCAAACAATTAAAAAATATATATATATATTTTTATTCTTGCAGTTCCAGCTTGCCATTTTTGATTCTCCATGTCCATCTGTGACATGTGTCAGGT